TTTCTGATTGATTGCTGAATTTACAACGATGAATATGAAACTTAACAAGTATAATCAAGAGATTGATAATAATTGTAGTAATATATAGTAAAAAAATTCCACTGCAAAGGAACATCATGAATCACACAATACAAAAATACCATTCGACCGGCCCACACAGGGGCGGAGCTTCTGAGGATCCTGCGCTCTGATTGGCTGAGGGCGGTCTCCGCTGGCCCCGCTGCGTTTATATAGCCAATCAGCGCGCAGCAGCGGGTAGTGTCTCAGCAGCAGCGAGCGCACGAGTCTCTCTCCGGTGGAAGATCGCGAGCAAGCGCCATCGTCCAGCTTTCGTTCAGAGTCATGGAGGAGTCGAGCAGCTGACGTTTCCTTCAACCTTCTCTTTTCACGCGTTCCTTCGTACGGTCATCGATCCGTTGTTGGTGCTATTAACGACGTTTCCCACATTGACGCGCGTCTGACTCAGTTTGAGGATGAAGTTCATCATCGGGATCGGAGGGTGAGTGAGTGAGCGAGCGCGTGCGTGCAGGCCGCGTGGAGAAGAAAATCTCCATAGTAACAGTATTTCAAACTGTAACGGCCAGAATGACGGTTAGCGCGATGTTTAAACGGCGGGAGGGGGTTTAGGCGGGAATGTTTCAACAGATTTTTGAAGCGGGGTTTTTTTTTTAATTTATTTATTTTTTAGAATAATTACAATTATGTAATAACCGAAATTTTGGCGGACGCCACGGTTACCGTGGTAACATCTTACCGCGGAAAGTTTATTGCTTTATTTACTACTTGTTTATTCCATTGTGAGCATATAATGTGCCATTAAAGGTACGGTTCACCCAAAAATTAAGATTATGTCAATAATAGCTACGTTTCCATCCAAAGATTCGAATTAAACTTATGCGCAAAACTACTATCACATAAAACCTATTAAAATAAAGCACCGTTTCCATCCAACGAGTCAAAGAGAACAAAATCGTCACTTCCTGTTAAACTGTGGCACTAAATATCACTAACAATATAGGAGAAGCCACTGAATATAATAATTTTCATATATGATATAAATTACTTGCACTTAAGAGCGAGCAGACGAAACAATAAATGCTGTCAATTCTTTCGGAGATGGATGCTGCTGTTTGGGAACATAGAAATACTTTGACGACAGACTTTGCTCGGGCATTTCAGAATGACCAAAACAACATATATAGATATAGATAGCCCAAAGTCACGACTTTTTTGATGCGCATGGAGGAATTTATTCGGTAAATGTGTTTCCATCGTAGTTTATGCACATTTTTTTCTTATCGGATAAAAAGTTTATCCTACTCAAATGTGCGCATACGGTTTTTTACGCGCATTTGTAGAATTTATGCGCATCTTGGCGTTTCCATCTAGCGTTTTTTTTATGCGATATTCCAAAATGCGCACAAAAATAGGTGGATGGAAACGCAGCTAATAGCTGTTTCCATCACCCTGCTTTAATGCGCATTTTGAAATATCGAAAGAGAAACGAGTGATGGAAATGGCAAATTTCGAAGAAAAAAATCCCTTAATTCGAAAAAAAAATTTACGCTCGCTTGAGGTGGTTTTTGTCTTGTACGAAAAAGGCTTAATGCGAATAATGGGAGATGGAAACTCATTTGCCGAATAAATTTCTCCATGCGCCTCAATAAAAAAGAAGTTTTTGTGCACAATTTTGTGCATTAGATAAATTCACAATTTTGGATGCAAACCCAGCTATCGACTCTCCCTCAAGTCGTTCCAAACTTGCATAAGTTTATTTCTATTGCTGAACACAAACGAAGTTATTTAAAGAACGAAGTTGACTGTAGCCATTGACTTCCATAGTATTTTCTCCCATACTATGGAAGTCGGTGGCTACCGTCAACATGATGGTGAGTAAATGTTGATAGAATTTTCATTTTTGGGTGTACTTTTGCTTTAAGGTGTGGCACCTTATGTCATCGGCACCTAAATAACATGATGCACGTTTAAAATAAACACCTAACACGTGTGTTTCCGCCCCACAGGGTCACAAACGGTGGCAAAACAACACTGACGGACAGACTGATCAAGAACCTGCCTAACTGCTGTGTGGTCCATCAGGATGACTTCTTCAAGGTCAGTATAATCAGAAAGCAGAGCTTGGCATTGATCACACACAGAGGTCAGAGGTTAAGAGTGTAGCGGTGGGAGGGTCAGTGTTCTGGAGTGCGTCTCATTGGTGTATGTTTCAGCCCCAAGATGAGATTGAAGTTGATGAAGATGGCTTTAAGCAGTACGATGGTAAGCGGGCTCTTATCCAGGGGTTGGTGCGTGTGTTTTTGCATGTCTGGCGATCCGCACCGTGTCCTTGCGCTCACTTGTGTGTGTTTCCCTCCGCAGTCATCAGCGCTCTGGACATGGACGCCATGATGAACACCATCCACGCCTGGCAGCAGAACCCCGTCAAGTTCGAACGATCCCACGGCGTCAACAACTCGCTGGACTCGGAGATCCTTCCGCG